GAAGCGACGCAAAGCTACGCACCACTTGCGATACATCATTAAAATTATGAGTTTGTCACGAAACAGAAACTTATACTCATTTACACACACACGCATAGGAGCTTTTTTCGCCATCAAACGATGCCATATGACTCAATTATAGCCTTTTATACAGAAAAGGCAAAAAAAATTAGGAAATAAAAACTGAAATAGACCGAATCGGAGATGCTAAACTTACAAGCATAAAAAATAAACAAGACTGCTCGTATCAGGGCAAAGCCCTGAAAGTTCCGACTGCCTTTTACTGTTTATGGAGCAGTAATAACATAAACAACATAAAAATTTAAATGAAATATAATGAATGAAAAACTCATTTTCCAAAATTTGAAAATTTTTCGATGAAAATCATCCCCCCACACGCCATATTAAGTACAAAACAATAGATTTCGCTCCTTGTAACAAATCAATTATGGCAAATAGGCTTCTTTCAACCAATTTGGAATGATTTCTAAGACGGATTAAATCTCCGCTTACGCGTTAATGGCGCGAATTATATCGCGCGTTAATTGTCCCAAATTGGTCAAAATGGCAATCTTTAAACCCTCATAACTTTCTGGAAAATAATCACAGGTGAAATATCTTTTCAAATTTAAGCTCAGGACAACAATAGCTTTCGAATGATCTAAAAAAATTCCATCAAAAATGGCTAGTTAAAAAGTCGAAACTTGTCTGAAGAAAAAAAAACCCACCCCGAGCACAAATATTCCGTTACTTTCGTATCGAAAGTCGGAACAATTACAAATCTCGCGCAGAGCAAGTGACTCACTTGAAGTGATTTTCTTGAAGAAGTTGTTATCTGGAAAAAAAACCTATTTTACGATTTGATAATGGATGCTACGCTTAATGCAAGCCTATTCATAATTAAGATGTAAAAAAGACTCTTAATGATAAACATAGCTAACAAAGAGTTTCAAAAATCTCAAAATGAAGAAAGACTGATTCAAACAATGTGTCAGCTTGTAAATCTTTTAATTTCGAAAGTAAATTCAGATTGAGACGTTTTTATGAAGCTAACACAATTCATGAGCTAAATTTAAAAAAAATTTTCACTTCTCTGGGATATATAAAGAAAGCGATACTCAATGCGCTATTGATGATTTTTTTGGCTAGTCAAGCGTTTCTGTATAGTTTAATTCGCCAACCATTTAGCGAATTAATTTGAAGCAAGCTACAAAAGAAATCAAAATAAACGTATAAACATACATAATAAAATATAAGCCAGCATACATTTTAGGAAACCTAACCCAAAGTAGCAAAGAATGCTATGACCACGTTAATTAAAACCCAACTAATGATAGTTAACAGAACATAGCCAACAGACAGTTGAAAAAGATTCAAAGAAAAATCTCAACTTCGAAGAAAAAAGATGGCCTGAGAGCTCTTTGCATTTCTAGAACAATTAATGATTGGCATTTTTTTAAAATTAAATAAACCCAATTTGAGAAAAATGGATCAATAGGTAATTTTTTTATTTCAATGAGAAATCCAAAAATTAAAATCCATTTTCGGAACTAAAAATTGATCACGTGTTTCGTGATCTTTACACTTTTGCTGCTCGATAGTGGAGTTTGCCTTCCTTTTAACAAGTAACTTAAAAAGAAATCAAAAGTCAATCAAACCGCAAAAAACTAAAATTGAGTCTGAAGAAACTTCAAATTTTCCTGAAGAAAAGAGTTAAAAAAATCATCACGACCAGTATGAAAGTCTAAACTACGTTTATCGACTTTAAAAAACGAGAAACACTCTTGGAAGTTAACTCTGAAGATGAAATCCTGGAACTGTATTACCTGCACCTTTAGAAGTTTCACAAACAGAAGCAAAGCGAGAGCTCATATACTTGCGAGAGGACATTTACCCAGAATGACAAATTAATCGACCGAAGAAGAGCTGAATACCGCAAAATTACTTTTTTTTGAAACAAGATATTAAAAAAATGCTCTACCAAAAATTTTCAAACATGTCTTGATTTTGTCTTGAGGTTCTTTCAAGAAAATATGCCAAGAAGCAAGACAATTGAATGTTAAACAAGCATCGAAATAAAACTCACAAAGCAGTAACAAAGCAGACAAATCTTGAACAGACAAACATTGTGCCGAAAAAAATTATTTATACGAAAACTTGAAAACGCAAATAAAACTAGGTCCCCTTTCAAAATAATTTGATAAAACCTTTTTGCTCTTGGAATGACTAAAAAAAAGGACTCTTAGACGACAATAAAAGCTGAAACCTTTTAAACTGAGTAAAGAGAAAATAAAGTAAGCAAAAACTCACATACTGAAATCGGAGTTGGTAAATTTATAACCATCATAACGCACAAATTTTGAACAAAACGGGCCTTTGAATGAATACATGATCAAAAATTTTCAATTTGTTGTTGAAATTAAAGATGTTCATCGCCAATTTCAATCATCCTGTGAACAAACTTGTATCAAAGTCAAAGTTCCCGGTTGCAACACCCTTGCTTATCGCGAGGGTAGTTATCTTTCTGGGTTCTGAACCAAAGACGTAAGAACTTAAAACTTTTACCCATATGACCCCCTGGGCTTCTCTCAGCCCAACTATAAACAAAACATAGTCACCAGTCAGTTAGAAAAAGTCAATGAACGCAAGGAAACAGAAAAAAGACAAATACTTTAACTTTTGAATTTCAAGGAGAAAAACATATGCTCTTTGAGCTCTTTGAGTTTCAATAACCATTTATTATTGACACTTTTTTGATATAAAAAATAATTAGAGACAACTGGATCAATAGTTAATTTTTCATTCTTCTGGGAAATCTATAATTAAAATCAATCAAAATCTTTCGAAACAATAAGTCGATCACGTTTTTTGTGGCCTGCAAATTTTTGCTGTAGGATACTGGAGTTTGCCTTTTTTTAACAAAAGAAATCAAGTGAACTTACCAAGAACTCAAGTCAAACCACGAAAAATCAAATTTGAGCTTGAATAAACTTTGACTGTTCCCAGAAAAATTAAAACAAAAAAATGGGAACCTATATAAGAGTCTTATCTCAGTCTCTTATCTTAAACTTCCCAAAAAATTGTCTACAAATAAATTGAACACAGAGGCGAAATTGCACTTCGTATACAGAAGCAAAAATATGACCGATAACGCCGCTACTGGTAAAAACTAAATGAGTAAAACTGAGAGTCTACATAATTGCTAAGTGACGCTAGCCGATTATGACGCATTAGCAGTACCAGTCAATTTGAAAAAACAAATTTCCAAACTAACATGCCTCAATTTATAGAGCGGATGCATTTTAACTAGTATACGAGAAAACCAGTAAAAACATCCGACCCTGCCCAGGTTCGCAACCTCTTATTTTGTTGCAGGTCTGCTTTCCTACCACTACACTACAGAGCCATGATACCTTGAAGCTTAAGTGATATTTGTTTATAATAGTCGGTTTTAATATCCTTAGTATTGGCTGTACGTAATAGCTGGTTATTGGTCTTACGCATATACTGCAATGAAGGAACACTTTTAAAATGAACACTAATATTTGCGAGTTAGGTTGGAAAAAAGAGAGTTCATAATATCACACAAGCTTTACTGTGTAAACAATGATAGTCGGCAAGAACCTTTTACGATTGGAACTTTTTTGTTTAAAATAACCCAATTTGTGAAAACTAAATCCATAAGTAAAATATTCATTTGGCTGGGAAATCTCAAATTATATTCCATTTTCAAAACTATTTAAAAGGAGCCAAAAATTCGCAATACATTGCGACCAGAAAGTTGGAAAAGAGTCAATGAACGCAAGGAAAAAGAAAAATACTGACTTGTTTTTTTTGAAAACTTGATCCATAGGTTAACTTTTTAATCCCCTGGGAAATCTAAAAAATTAAATTCAACTTTCAAAACTAGAAGTAGTTTATGTTTTTTCGCGCCTCTTTCACGTTCGCATTTGGAACTAATCTTATTATCAGCAGATTAATTCAAATGGAACTCAAAAAATCTTTATGTACCTAAGTGCATTCATAAAATCAATATGTATGAAAGCACATCTGTAGTTGTTAGCGCATTTTAAGACTAAAAACAAAAAAAAATCACCCAGACCGATATAACAGTCTTCACTACGTTCATTTAATCTTGCAAACTCAATTAATCTATCTTTTTGTCGCGCAATTAGTTACACAATGAGCCAAATTCAATTGGATGTATTACAGCAATCCCGCATTGAAGACAATTTTCAATTTGGGGACTTAAAAAAGTATAACTTATTGTTCGGATCGCCCTGGTAGTGGGAAAGATTTTGGCGTGAGAACTGATTTTAGTTAACTTTGACCACCTGCCACAAAACTCTTAGGGGTCAAAAATTAAAGCGCTTTTAATCCTAGTTCAGAATCCAAAAAAAATGTTTCAGTGTAGTTTCAGTGTTTTTTAAACTTTTTTAGTTTTTAAAAAAAACTTCACAATTCGAATTTCAAAGAAAAATTATATGGCCATGAAGCTCTTTGAACTTCAAAAACAATTAATGATTAACACTTTTCGATGAAAATGTAAGCTTTTGCAATGTACTATTTGTGCATGTTCAAACTATTTTTGCATGTAAAAAAAATTGACAACTTTACTTATACGAAATGTTTTTGGAATCTCAAATACTTGGATGTAACCCAAATACTTGTGGAAATAAGAACTCTGTTTCAAATATGAAACAAACATGAAACATATGAACTAGTTTATATAATATGAACAGGTTGGCACGGAACAATTGCACGTTCGAACAATTGCTCGTTGCGAAAGTGATATGTTCGCCCACGTCGTTGAAAAAACACTGGACAGATAAATCATTGCATTGGTTTCCATTACATCGTCAACACTGTATCCAGGGTTTCAAAGCAGAGCATAGTAGCAAAATTTTTATCCATTATTCAACCTGAAAATTAAGCAGATGCATGTTTAAGAGATTTAACCACTACCAAGACAATTCGAAAAAAGATTATGTTGCAGGAAAAATTATAACTTTCTAGCTCAAACATAAGTACATAAAATGAACCGCAAAAATGCGAAATCAAATATGGCTTCACTGGCCTACGGCCAAAGTGATCCATGTTTTAGAATCCAGTTTTTGCGCGGAAAACTGTATTGTCATAAAGGTTTGACTGTTTGAATTTCGAAAACTAAATGTTTATATTAGTTTTTTTGACCTTTCATAAATTTTTCGACTTCGCATTATTCGTAAAACCAATGGTACATTATCACCAATGGTTGAATTATCATCAAATTCAGCGACTATAAAAAGTAAGTAGTTGCATCAATCTATTATATTACTATATCATCTAGTACCAATTTATTCTATTTACTTAACCATCTACTGTCAATTTAGCTCAAAATAGCCTTCAATTTCTCGGTTATCTCGGGCATAGCACCAGTGAAATCTCTGCAACTTTCTTTTCCATAAGATGTCACTGAGAACCCCATAGTATCATCCATAATCTCATAGCCCACTCCCAGTCCATTGGGAACAACTGGACAGAAGGCACCTGCCAGACAATATTCGGACGGGACTGTACTCGTGCTCAGTATGAACTGATGCACTCTGTCGTACAATTCATGCCTGAACAACTCGGGAAGTGTGTCTGCATTTTCAGCCAGTGCTAACTGCTTCATCGCATAGAGATGTCTGTCACACCCTTGTCCAGTTGCCGCTCTCTTCGTCAACTCCGTGTGCTTCTCGCTGCAATCTCTCATCAGTTGTTGAAGTTCGCTTTTAGATGCTTTCCCACTGAAGAAAGCATGAGTGAACTTTTTCGTCTCACTAGTACAAGCCCGCACTGTTTCTGTTCGGCCGTGCTTGAACGCAGCTGTAGTGCAAGACTCATAGGTCGGAACAGTCCGACCGTCGCTGATTTTGAAATACCCCAGCTGGATACACAGCTGCATTAGAGAATCCGGACTAACTTTAGCTTTCTTCGCAAAGTTCTTCCCGAACCCATTTTCCCCCCTATAGACGGAAAGTTTCAGAGATTCGGCCTTTTGGTCAAAATCTAACATAGTCTGTTTGCATACTTCTTTACAAGGCCCATCAGTTGTGATCTTGAGACGCTTCACATCCTTTTGAACTTGACTGAAACAAACTTAGAGTGAAAAGCGTGTTGGAAACAATGGCATTACTTTCTGTTCTTGATCCAACCATGGGGCTAGAAGTAACGTTGAATTCAGGTGGGATTTTCCAAAAAAATCAGGTACATCAAAGAAACATTGAAGGCAATTGAGTGATATATTATATTTAAACCCAGTCAGTCCTCATTTGGTCTACAATAAAATTTCCAAAACAGTCGATAAGCAGTTTCACATTTTGGCTTTTTAGATTAATTGAGAGGGAAAAATCACTAACATTTTAGTGGGCTACAAATGACCCCTTGATGCAGCGAAAAACTTATTGATACAAACTGATACAAATTTGCCGAACTAATACATGGGATTCAAACTGAATATTTTTGAAATCTTTTCAAAAAAAAACAAGGAATGGCCGGTTAATGTGCAAGTAGCACAGAGTGATCCGACAATAATCTTACAAAAACATATTTTTTTCAAATTTGAGTGGTTTTTACCTGCGTCGTGTGATAAAAGGATCTGAACCAAAAATGACAGCAAACTTGTCAAACGTTTTTGTAGAAAAATGAGCAGAAAAACAAAAAAATTATTAAAATTATTTCAAAAAGTTTTTTGATTCCAAAAATGGCGCTATAAAACCTCAAAAAAATAACTTTACTCGAATAAACTTAAGTTTTCACGGGTTAAATTAAGCATAATTAAACTAATGTAGGCCTGCTCGCTCGCTTTATTTGCTCAAAATTAGATGAAAATTTCAAACCTGCTTTTCTCGATACTGGGACAACTTTTTGAAATTTTTAAAATATCGTTCGAATCACAAGTGAAAGAGCTTTAATATGAAATATCACTCCACCTAATCTGCAGATTACTTATGGAAATTTATTTTGCATTAAGAAAATATGAAAAAACTAAGACACACCCGAATACAAAGTTCCTCCCCAATTCCAATGGTCTGGTCGGATCAATAACTGAAAAATTTTAAAGAATTTTAAAAATCTGTTATGATTGACCTTTACTTAATAAATTCAGCCCATTTTTAATGAATAAGTTTTCTTTATTCTGCTTGAATTAAAATTCACTTTCGAAATTGGAATTCAATCATGTTTTCTCGCTACATTCAAAACTTCGTTATTGAAATGCGTAATTTGCGTTCCTTTTAGCAACCGCATTGAGCTCAAAATTCAAATATCACACCGTAAAAAAATCGACGCGACATAAATAAATGCCAACACTACGTTGATCGACGCTCAAGAAAAGTTAAAAACACATAAATCTGCGTTCTCCGACTGGGTTAGTTATAGTGAAAACTCAAAATTTTTCACAAAGTCAAAGCTGAGTTTCGCAAAAACTAGCGAGAAAATGACAAAAAGTAGCTCTATAATATGAAATAAAAACTTAGAAATAAGCCTTAAATTAGTAAAACTTTTGCTGCCCGACCAATTCGAACCAGCAACCTCGAGATGAAGAGTCTCACATCCTTCCCACACACCAACGGACGCTTATCGATCGACATACACTAGCCACAAATAAGCAGAAAACAGATGCTATGAAATTTCCAATGCTTAAGCTCGTGATTACAGCGAAAGTGCCACCAAATTGAGCACTTTGATTTGATTTGCGAATTAGGTTCGAAAAAAGTAGAATCATACTAACATACAAGCTCGCAGGCGTAAAAACCGTGATATCAAACAACAGTGTAATTTCTTTTATCAGGCCTACAAAAAACGAGAACAATAGAAAGGAGGATAGTGGGTTGCTGTGCAAGTAGCACAAAACGTTCCGGCCTTACTCATAAGAACTACATAAAGTTTTTTTTTCAAATTAGTGTCGCTTTTAGTGAAAGATGCGATGAGTATATAATTAGTGATTTGGACATAATCGACATTGGTCATCAAAGAATGAATGACAAACAAAAACTTATAAACAATTTAAACATAGCCAATCGAAGATTGGAAAAGAGTAATGAACGCAATAAAAAACACTAAAAAAACACTGACTTTGTTGAAAAAAATCTCAACTTTAAAAAAAAGATGCCCTTCAATCTCTTCAAATTTCTAGAACGATATATGATTGTCGCTTTCTTTATAACATTAACCCAACTTGAGAAAACTGGTTTTTATTCCGCTGTTAATCTAAAAATTCAATTCCACTTTCGAAATTAGAAATAGTTCACTTCACGTTTTCCCGCGCCATTTCCACGTTCGTTTTTAGAGAGTGCTATTTGCGTTATTTTCAGCAGATGCATTTCAATTGTGCATATACACCTCAGTGCATATATACCTCAGTGCATTCACATATGCATCAGTATGTATGAATGCATATCTGTAGTAATTAGAGCATTTTAAGTTTCCTGAAACTAAAAAAAATCACCAAGACCTATATACGAGTCTTCACTACGTTGATTACTCTTAAAAAAATTTTGCATCCTTCTTTTATTTCTTTTTTTTAGAAAAACTTTGCCAAGAAGCACTAAATGTAATTTTCAAAACTGGGACAACTTTTGGAGAATAATTTAAGGTCTTTCGAATCACGGCTTATTACTTTATTACTCGAATCAATCCGATAACTATAAGTGGTACCTAATTTTGCGTGGAATGAAAATAAAACTAAAAAACAGCCGAACACAAAGTTTCTCCCCATTTTCAATTGCCGGAACAATATATAGCAAAATATTAACCCAATGTAAGTGATACGATTGGCTTCAAAAACAAACTTGATGGAGAAACTTCACAAACGTTGGGGTTCTGCTAATCGGCAGCAAATCTTCTTGTTTCATGTCATATGGCAGAGGTGCATTGGTGAAAGAGTCTTTGCAGACGTCATTGAGAAACCTCACGACTGAGATGCCGTCTCCCCACGAGTGCTCGAACTGCACTGCAAAAGTGCCGTCTTTTAGGAATATCATATTGAGACACTTGTCATACCAGCGGTTCCTCCCATCTCCCACCAACAGTTTCTTCACACTTTGTTCAATTTCTCTCTCAGCGGAATGTGAGTGAGCTGTGAAATCTTCTAATGACACCACAAATATTGCACCATCTATTAGTCTAAACAAAACAAACTGAACTTCGGGCGCTTCTTTAAGGTAATATCAAGTCTGTGATCCCGCTGTCTCATTTATAAAAAACAATTGACACATAGGCTAAGCAGAGCTCTGGAACCACTTGCCATACAAAAAGAAAAAATTATGGAACAATTTTTTCTTAATTCAGTTTTTTTCCAAAAAAACAGGCCCATACCACAAAATAAAGATGAAAAGACGTTTTTCAGAAACAAAGCAGCCAGATCCAAGAAAGCGACAATATTAGCCGACGTAATTGAGCCAGAAAAATATATGTAAGACTTGTTCACAGAATTTTGACCATTAAACGATAAGAAGCGCGATACACTAGAAATAGCCCTCATTATATAGTATAAATAAGAAAAGAAACTAAGCGGATGGAACGTTAACTGAAATGTGAATAATCAAAAAATCGGCCCATTTTTTGTTATCGATGAACGGAGTTTGCTTTTTCAAAAATCTGCCAACGTTGATAACTCAATCAATTAAAGCTGCAAGGAAAAATAAAACATAGACAACAGATTGTTGGAAAAGTGTCAATGAACACAAGGAAACAGATGAGTCAATTTTTCTGTTTCTTGCATTCATTGGCCTTTTTGAAACTGTCTGTTGATTATTTTAACTTTCCAAAGCAGTTTTAACTATTTGAGTTATCAACGTTAACTCATTTTTTAAAATCCGTGAAGGTCCATGGGCTAGGCTACCCTTTCTTCCATAACACAATGGGCTGATCGTGATTCACGTGATCAGCTTATAAATCCCTACGTGGATTTTAATTTACCTATTGGTCCAGTTTTCTGAAATTGTGTTGACTTAATCAAAAAAGTGTCAACTATAAACTGTTCTTTAAATTCGAAGGCCTTAGAGGCATATAATTTTTCTTAGAAATGAACTTTGTTTGCTTTTATACTTTTTAAAATATACAAGCCCTTAAAGCTCTTCGAAATTTCGAGAAAAATTCATGAGCGACAGTTTTTGATAAAACAACCCAAATTGAGAAAACTGGATCAAAGGTAATTTCTTATTCCGCTGGGAAATCTGACAAATTAAATCCACTAACAAAACTTGAAGCCGATCAGTTGTTGGTCTCCCTTTTAACAAATTAAAATACTGAAGTTAGATAGAATTCATGTCAAACAAAGAAAAATCAAAGTTGAGCGTAAACCAGCAATGCCAAATTCTAAATTATAAAGTTTGCGCCAAGCATTGCATTATCTGAATCAATTAGCAAGATTCAATTCTTTCCGAAATTTGCAATGCCTGGTTTCCAATGCCTACTCTAAGCGCTAATAAAAAATTGGATATTTTCCGCAAAAAAAGATATTTAAAAATGACTTAACGAAAAATTATCACAAAAAAATACCTTAAAATTTTTGAGGGCAAGAAATCGATCTTTCAGAAATCAGATGGAATATGGTAACAATTTAAGCAAAAATGAACATAAAAACGGTTTCTAAAAAGTCGCAATAGTTATAAGAAAAAAAAAATAGAGCAAACCTACAAATTCCATCAACTCGTCGAAAGTCAGAACAAAAACTAAAACAGATGAAAAGCTTAGCTTCGCATCAAATGCGATACAAAATGAATGACTTACATACAAGAAGAAAAACATACAAAAAAAATAAATAAGAATAAAAAAATTGAAGAAAAAACTTCAAAAAACAGTTTTTGTCAATAAAAATTGCAACAAGCCCAAAATACCCGAAATAATATTATGAGGAGCATTTGGAACGCTTAAAAGAAGTCAAAATTTCGGAAACGTTCTCTCAGCGGAACTGAACCCAGAAAACTAAGCAGACAGAAAAAATTCAAAATTATCAGAAAACCTTCAGTTCGCAAAAAAACAGGCCCCGTCTGAAATTGAACTCCCAAGCTCTGTCGCATCAAGCAGGAGGGTTACAGCAACTTCGAATAAAGCTGAACCTTCAAAACAAAGTCGGACTTCGGGAACTAAGACGACAAAACTACACACAATAGCCCGAGAATGCAAAAAAAAGGTCCCGACCGGATTTGAACCACAAGCCTTTATCGTCTCAAAGAGTTGTGTTACCTCTACACTAGATACCGCTGGCTGGTTGAGTGAATTTATAACACAGATGCGAAGCTGAGCTTCGCACCACTAGCGATACAAAACAAGAAAGCCGCTAAGTCTGAAAACAATCAAAATATCAAAAAAATTTACCACGCATCGGAAAAAAATTACCATGCGGTAATAAAGCCGAAATTTCTTGGCAGAAACGCTTTAAGCCAAAGACTTATGAACTAACAAAAACTGCTTAAGTCCCCCATCCCTCAGAACGCAAACTCGCAAAATTTCTTTCGCTCATCAAACGACGCGATATGAGGCCACTAAGCCGATACAACATAAGCCGAAACTTATTAAGCCGAAAAAAAAACGAAAATAATTTCCAACGAATCGAGTTAGTAACATTAGAACCAACATAGGAAGCAAATTTCAAATAGGACGGATATTTAAAATGCTAGCTTGCTCAAAATACGTCTGTTGCAGTATTTCCAACAGGAAAACAGGATAGGCATCCATATTAATCCTATGAAAAAGGTTATTTACGGAAGAAAAACCTGGTATCGCAAGTGTCATTATTGAAGAGGCCTGATAATTCATTCCGATAAACCTTCATTCGTCTTAAAGAAAGCTTTCCTTCCAATGTCACGAATTCAACACTTACGGGCGGTACTATTTTCGCAATGGTGACAACATTGAGGAACACGTGCAAGACACATGTACAGGGGATCTGAAAGGCTAGACGCAATTAATTGAGGCCGGTTTTTTCCATCCGATTAATTAGTCGAGTTTTGTTCATAAAATCGGCCAATTAACTGATTAATGGCCAGATATCTAAAACTTTCAAAAACAGGTTGCTGCAAAAAATGTGACCTAATGAGCCATAACCAAAAGTTACGTTAACAGACCTCAAGGCTTCTCCGTTTCCTTCAATATCCACTAAAATCTTTCTCACAGACGACCAAGTGTCACGATCAGCTGTAGTGAAAACTCCTAGAGGAAAGGCAGGATTGCTGCTGTCTTCTAGTATGTACTCTATGTTCTGCATCAACTGCAAAGCGTCTATAATTTGGCCACCATCAGATAACACATCCACTGAGTACAAATGCCCATTTCTCAGAAACACTACATTTCTTGAGCTTGGATTGACCACTAATTCATCTCTCCCTTCCTTTGGCAATCTCGTGGATGAGAAGAGATTCTTGTATTGGCTCATGTCTAACGGATATGACTTTTGGAAATATGAAGCGTAGTAAGAAAGTGCTGGAGGCGTAAGCCTGCATACGTTATCGTACAATTTGCTATTGAGGTTTTCTCCTTTCATATGATAAATGTCAGGATAAAGTGTCCCAGTCTCTAACGCCTCTTTGAAGCGAAGTGCTGAGACGATGGTATTAGCACATCGCGTTGACTGAATATAGGGATTACTAAAATCTACATTAGGAGGTGGAACTGTCACAACCACAGGCGTGTGATTGAACACAATTTGTCTCCTGTCTTTTAAATACATATCAAACCAGAAATCTGTAATGTAACTTGTGTGAGAATTCTCCTTAGCGAAATCCGTCAATTTTTTGTGAAGCCTTATTCCATCATTCTTTTCAAAGCTCTTCAAAACTTGATTGAACTCATCGAACTCAGCTTCACTGAGCAAAGGCTGGAGAGCATCTGAAAATCGGTCGATTGTATGTTCAAGTTTCGGAAGGGGCAGGCGCGGCATGGACTGTTGGAAATGCATGGTAGGAATTGTTCCGCGCATGAAAGAGTTACTACTTGAAGTGGACGCACTGCGAAAATGCAACTTCAGCAACGCACATCGAAGTTTTCTTTTAAGATACAAATGTGTGCCACGCATATCTGAAAACCATATTTAATAGATATGGAAGTGATAATGATAAAAGAAGATGACAAGTGTTGAAGTCTTTTTCAATGAAAAAAGATACGGGTTACGTTTCTTCAATAAAAACACGCAACTCGACACGAGAAAATATAAAATACAAGTGTTACAAATAAAAACCAAATGCCAGGGAGATTCTCTGTTTTAAAAAGCTGCCTGCTCTGGGTTCCTCGGTGCATATGCTTAGGTTCTTACAAAGCTTGTTCAAAAAAAATTCTGTGCTGGGGCCGGCTGCGCCCTGAATCTCAAAAGCTAGCGGTTGAAAAAGATATCCATCATCTACAAGATCTTTATACTTGTCATTTTTTCGCTCTTCCGCTTCAGCGGCAGCCGTACCAGGGTTACAAACAGACCCGGCATTAATCCTACAAGGAGCTAAGGAGTATACCACCGTTACATCCCACAAGAGCTGCTTACCAACAGCCCATGGAACGAGCGTTAAACAGTCTGGTCGCTCCTGTAGAGGTGTCGTAGTTCTAAAACAGACGGAATGTGAATAGAAGATAAACTCTGCTTTATAAGGGCATTCAAGTTTGAATGCCTAGAGAATCTCCCTGCACTTTTGAGGCAAGAAAGACCATGCCAGCCATACTCGGTAACGTCTTTTTCGCACACGCATTTATGCCGTTCGCATATTTTTGAGCCTAATCGAAGTCCTATCGCAATTCTCAGATGTTGGTTCGACAGTTTTAACCTTAAATTTTTGCACGGGATGACGTTCAACCATTGGGAGCCAAATCTATTTTGGAACGCGTTGAATCTTTTTACGTCCGTTGGCTCGAGTCGTAAAATCAAGTCTGCAATTTCGCAGTCAAAAATTGGCTCTGTCCAATATTTTTGGATTTCCTTTACTGGAGCCATTTCTAGCGGATCCTCTTGAGAATTGAGAATCAGAAAACTTCTCGTGATAATCTTATTGGAAACCTAAGTAATTTAGAAGCTTTTGCTTTAATTTGTTAGATACCGACACTATTCTTAATTTGAGAAGCTCGCCCCTTTACCGTACAAACGGAATGTCATTGATGGGACGCTCCATGGCATTGTTGAAAGCTCCTGAAGATGGAAAAATTTGACTAAGTATTGAAGAAAAAGCTGAAACAATAGATTAAAACTCGATATCCGAAAAATTGTTAGGATATGATAGTATCCAAAACTATTAACAAGATTTTCAACGTAAGAAAACTTTAGCGATTCCAGCAATAAAAAAGAAAAGGGGAATAGTAGAACGACTGGTGGTGTATAAGAGTCAGAGAAAAGCCTACATGTAGCGGATGTAACTCCAAGTATGTCGGCCAGACAAGGCAATATTCAGCCAGGTGGATTGATGAACAACGCAATGACTCGCCATAGGACATCATTTGGAAGATAACAGACCAAACAGGCAACGCCAATAGTCTTGGCACTATTGGAGGAAGATGACAAAACACAACACGCGCTATGAATCGAGGAACCGGGATTTAACGCCAAAATTAAGTCCAAGTATCGCGAAACGTAAAATCACAACGGATAGAGAAAAAGAAGAATAGCGGGTATAACTTTTTGTTGGGAGAATTTAGCGCTTTTGGGTAGTTTTTCAAAATTTTGACTTGCTCATTCTGAAACTCGAACAACTTTACATTCAGATTTCATTCCTATATCAGAACCAAGCACTCGGACGCTTGCCTTTATCGTGATTCATGTCTCTTCGATGAATTTCTCGGCTTCACTGCGCTTTATATCTTTCACTATGAATTGGCATTCGGATGCTTGAACATGGCAGCCAGAGAACTTACCTTATGAAACAATTTTATATAAGACGGTTCATAGATTACTACATTAGGCGACTGCGTTAGCTTTGTCTGCGTACCACTTCTGGACTACGTTGTCTTTTGATAATAGAGTTATAAGAGGTATTATGGTAAGACCGACCATTGCTAGCGGATCCTCTTGTGTTGTCACTTCTTGGAAGTAGATGGTTTTATTTTGTTAAAGAAGTGTTTAGATGGAGTACGAGCTCTTAATCGATGTTAAGAGGGATGAGCAGGAAGTTTTTTTCGATGTTTTCCAATGCCCGTTATCGCTTAAGTGAGTTGAAGCGGTTTAGGGCATCTATGAGTAAAACTGCATCCATTGAGATATTGCTGTATTGATCTCCTAGAGTAGAGATCGAACATTCAATGTACACTTTTTTCTTAGAAAGAGCTGGTAGTTTGAACCTAGCTATCAGATCAATTTTTTGGAAAATAATTTTTGTTCGTCCTATTATCCTACGCATAACTTCTCCTATGCCTATGGATCTTACTATTGAGTCCATATCTATGGGTCTCAATTTACATGCATTATATGTTTCTATTAGTTCTTAGTTTACTTCTTCGGTAGCTATTTTTTTTGACATTTTTAGCTTTTATTTTTGAAATCTCTTTTGATTGTTGTCTGAAACGTGCTAAAATGCAACTACATTCATTTGCATCAAAGCCAGATAGTCCGTGAGATCCCTGCGTTCTTTTGTTGGCTTTTTTGATCTGTTGAGCGTTTATTTGATCAAATAACGACGGATGGTAAAGGATTGTTTCATTTGAGAGCGATTCGAAATCGTTATCATCAATCAGGCGCCTTGCGAAGGTTTGCTGCGTACATTGCTGAATGCAGTGCAAAGGCACTTATTACTGTTCCAAAAAAGTTCGAAAACGATTGGTCCTTATCTAAAACAATAATAAAAGCAATTAAGCAATGGCAGAATAGAGTCTTGAAAGATGATAACTACATTACACCGGTCTCAAATGAAACAATCCCTTTCCTTACAGTAATAAATAGTCAATAAAAGTGCCGAGTACACGGGCAGCTTTCGCAACATGTATTGCGAAGGAGATTTTTTTGTTTGAGAAAACTGCCTGAACTGGCTTCCTCGTCACAGCTTAGCTTCGCTTAGTTTCGATCCAAAAGCCATACAGAATGAATGACTAAGAAAAAAAACAAACGAAAAAAATAAGAGTTAAGAAAAATTGAAGAAAAATCTTCAAGTAACAGTTTATGTCAATAAAAACGCAACAAGCCTAAAATATCCGAAAAAGACTATGAAAAGCTTGTGAAACGCTTAAAAGAAGCCAACGTTTCCGAAACATCCTCTCAGCGGAACCGAAGCCACAAAACTAAACAGACTGAATTAATTGCTCATTTCGGGATTAAATTTTCGGTTTATCTTTCCTGATATGTATTGCCTCTAGTGTTAGCAATTTTGCTTGGTTGCTTGACCTATCTATAATTTCCCAACTAAGATCTGCGCTATTTCCCTCAAGTAGGCATTGCTGAAAATGGAGGCCTACCGGTGAGTCTGCTTTCTTATGTTCCTCAATTCTAATGGTCAAATGTCGAACAGTTTGTCCGACATAGGTGGATGTGCATCCACTACATGACATTTTATAAACCACTCTTGACTTGAGGTCATTAGAAAATGCTGACTTCAGTGATGGTAAACATGGTTCTAGTTTTCTTGTGGTGAAAACCACTTGAACGTTATTTAATTTTCCTAATCTGTTAGCAAAATATTGGCTCTGGTTACCTCTATATTGCACCATCAGCATTGGGCGCTTCTCATCCTTTAGTGATTGAACTGACAAACACCTCTCACTATCCAGGGGCTTGCCCTTACCCTCAATGATCCTGCACAAGGCTTCTGAAGCCACCTTTGCGGACCAATTTTCAGGGTACTGATTTGTCAGCCATTGCGCCCTATTAGTTTCCATAGCCTTATCAAATTGCTCCCAGCTAGATGTACTCCTAAAAACCCTGTGTGCAGTGCCTTGGAAAACACTACACTTATACTGAGTTGGGGCGCAGCTTCTATAGTTCAGTATAGTCCCTGTATCTGTTGGTTTATGATACCAACTGGGAGTTACACGCCTACCCTGCGATACATTTTTGTTCAAATCCAGGAACGGCGAATTCCCCTCCGAATTAGTTTTCTCTAGACTGAACTGCAAATTTGGATGAAGAGAATTGTCGGCATCGAGAAGACAACTCGGCTCCCCTCTGACTGTTCTAACAATGTCATCCACATACCTGAGGAACAATTTCACCTGGGGAGTATCCTTCTCCTTGTTCTTAGCTCGACAGCTGGTTTCAAAGTACCAGACTATCTCGGTTATCGATGCGTAAACGTCATCGGATATTTTTCCGCATTTTAGATGATACCAGTTTCGGCAACTCTCGCACTCAACCCCCTTTGATCTATATGTAATTTTCCTGCTGCAACATGGGCACAAGCCATCTTTGTCATTAATTTGCTGTATCTCCGTTCCCATCGGTATTTCTTGTCTTAGAGCAAACTCGTACTCTTTCAGCCATAAGCTTGCCAGAGTTACAGCGAGGGATGCGACCATTGTTAAACCATCAACTTGTACTTTCCATGAATCATTACACTTGAAATAAACTTTGCTGACCGCCATTTTCAAAAACCTTTTCATGGTTGCTCTCTGAATTTCAGGAGAAGACTCCTGGCTGTACAGCTTCTGTAAAGCATTTTCAATTGCCTCCTTCAGGGGAACGTGGGTGTACAAACTTTTCACATCAAAAGATATTATGGTTTCATCCGGATCTAGAGCACGGTTCTCTATTGTTTCTCTGGCATCCTTAATATTGGTTTCTATATTGGCTCCATCGATGTTGTCAAAAAACTTTGCAAGCATTTTGTTAAGTTTCTCATACGAGCTGCCTGGAAGTGAAAGTACTGGTCGTAGGGATGTCTTAGCCTTGTGAACCTAGCTAAACCGTACAAACGGGCGGTTTGCACCACTTTTGACCTCATCTTAGAATACAACTGACCACTTATCTCGTCTCTTTTGTTCATGGCTAGTAATTCTTCGTTAAATTCCTTCTCAATTTTCAGTATAACCTCATCAGTGGTTGCATTTTTTTTCACAAACTGAGCAGATTGCAATAAAGATTCCAGTTTTGATTCACACTTTTGTTTCCTCATTA